ATTGATTTTATTATAATATAGTGTCTTGATTATGATTATTATATAGTGTCTTTATTTATTTTCGTACATGAATAATACGTATATATTATTTTTCTCTTAAACTAAGTGACAAATATAACACCGTAACTTACCGGTAAATATTCATCCATGGTTTTGAACGTTACACTAAAAAGCACGAGCTACTCAAGACAAAGATACCCAGTCATAGACAAAATAACCAGCGAGAAGTCTGCAAAAAATATGTATGTCGTAATACGAATTTTATCCAGTCAGTTTTTGGGCGTAAAAAGAATTGCCTGGAACTTGCATGGTTTTTTAAACCTGCTGGTGGTAAGTGCCACACCTGTCTATAACAGTTGCAGTGCCACTCCGTACTTTAAATCACAAATATCTGAGGGGCACAGTCATTAAAAGACATAAGTTGACGAGTCCCATGTCCCTGTAATTTCACCGGCACCCTTACTCTTCATAACTGGAAAGCAATAATGCTCACATTACTGCTTGGCGGCAGAAATACGTAAGGTGGCAGTACTTTCCTGGACGAACTCATTCATAAGGAGGAGCACTTGAGCTCCTTATTTTATCCCGGAAAACGATTAGTGAGGCGTCTATATGGTAGAAATGACACAATTCGCACCCTTACTATAATAAGGCCTTATCGGCAAAATAATAACTTTTCAGGATAGAGGTATATAGAGTCTAGGACCGAAATTATTTGATAACTTTTTAAAACTTAAATAGGAGAGTTATAAAATTTCACATCTACGTGAAACAACATGTAGTTTGTAATATTTTTATAGCTTTCATGTGATAAAAGTCATTTTTGACGTATGTGGCTTTATTATACCAACAAGGGTACGAAAAAATAACCCAATGTCAGCAAAGTACCTGGGTCTATAAGCAGTGCCTCGACCATGAGTTTACTGTGACAGTTGTCGCTAGCGACCGCGTAAATTACTTCACAATTTTGTATGGCAAATTTATGCAGCGCCCAGATGAAGTGACATTTTGTATACAAATATTTTACGTTGTCGCTAGCGAGAAATGTCACAGTATACTCATGGTAGAAACACAGCTGAAGAACAGTGAAAACTGATAATAATATTACTTTTAATGAAGTAATATTTATATGAAATCTCCATTTTGTTTTACACTTAACTAATAATAATAATAATTGTCGGGAACTCCTACCTGGTCTTTTTTATTATTTTTTGCTATGTTTTCGTTTTCATTTTCGTTTTGTATTACTTTAGATGTATTGATTGTGAGTGAATGTGTGTCGTGAATTACTTACATTTTTGCTATTGCGTTTCTCCTATATTTATGCCCATTTCTGTTGCATTGTTCACTTCATTCTCATACAATTTATCTACTACAATAATAATATAGTGCCGGACAACCACACCATTTACTTTGTTTAAAAGTAGGAAATGTCCTGCACTATGAACACCAGAAAAATTAAATGAACACCTAGATCAACAAAAAATTCGTTTTCGAAACTGATCCTAGATTCGTGTCCGGCACCTCCGCATCTAGCGCCTATAGGGCTAACCGCTGGGTCTTAAGCGCTTAGTTATTCGAAAATACAGTCTTTCCAATCCTTATTTAAAAGTAAGTTTAAAAAATTTACACAATTTCATTAAGAAAGAGGATATTCATAATATTAAAATGAAGCATAAAATTGAAAACTACGTGTTGAATAAAGATGTATGGAAAGACGACATAAGTCTAGATTCCACAAAAATATGATTCAAATTATATTCCATAGCATTTAAGTTTATTTGAAAAGAGCAATCCCTAGAATTTCATTTAGACATTTTCAAGTGTATGATTTTACCTACGGAATAAATGATTATTTGACATTGACTTTTAATTGCAGTACCACAAATTTCAAATTTCATAGAACCCATAAGTTATCCTAACATATTATGTATGTAGGGGTGAATTCACCCGCGGCCTTAACCTGGTGAGGTCACCCTTAGTCACAACGGAACGCTGACAATGGCCCGCCAGCGCCAAGTCGGAAGGCGGCTGGAAGGTTAACACTGTCATCGAATGCTTTGTCAGACAACACAGGCAGTCGATTATGTGAAGTATTTTGTTTATCTAAATGTATGTATATCGTAATCGACGTCTGGTATTCGATTCCGAATATTACCATGTATTTTACAGTGAATGTCGAAAGAAGCAAGCATTCATGATAACGCTCATCAGCGATTCCTAACCTACCTTTCAAAAAGTCATAATGTCACAAATTCATTTAAGGGGCAATGTGTTTGCTTCTATAACAAGATACTGGTTGATATTGAAAATTTGGCATTTACGGGTAAAGGTTAATATACAGTTTCTGTATATTTGGATGACAAAAATCCGTAGCGGTGACTTGGTTAGCTTTTGCAGGTATTCTCGATCTAAAATGTTTGAAATAATGTATATTTACACAGAGCAACCCCTAGAGTTTCTTGTTAATTCTTCTCAGATTAATCTGCCTTACGAATGAGCAGTAGAATTAATCAATATGAAGATTTCAAGTGCAATTTGCTTAACTATGAAATAAAGATGATTGGAATCTTTTTAGTTTTTTTTTCAAACATGGCGATCACGCCACAGTCAGGAGCAAAATGATCGATGCGTTCAAAGTGTTGAAAAACATCAAAGAACCTATGATGCAACGCTGCTTTGATTAAAACTTAAATTCGTCAAAAACAATAGAAAGTGTAGATTGGCAATGAGTCGAACGAAAGTGTAGAAAAATATAATCATTATCAAAAGGCACACATACAAATGCGTCAAGGAAATCGTGAGAAATAGAAATATTTATAGGAAATGGAACTATTTTTCCGGATTTAAATCGCATATATTTGTTTTTTCAAACAAACCAAACAAAACAAAAAAGTTTGTTTTGATAAACAAATATACGCGATTTAAATCCGGAAAAATAGTTTCATTTCCTATGTGTGACAATCGCGAAAACCTAAGAGTTCGATAGAAAGATATATGTTATGTAGAAAATCTAGCCAAAGGCCATAATAGATAATGTGCACCTGTTCAACATTTGATAAAGGTCGATGTTTATCAAATGTTGAACAGGTGCGCACTGTTCGTTTTGAGGTTGACAGTACATCTTTCTTTTTTTAATTACTCATTTTTTACACAAACATTTTCACACACAAACTTATAACCATAAATAAAATCACGATGTTGTTGGTATGAAAATAAAAGATAAGAGGCCAAATGTTTTTGCACATGGCATTTAAGTAAGTATTAATTTGTTTTAAATCTCGTAGGTATGGAATATAGTTATTACAAAAGAATATTTTGCTTCATAGAACGTATTAGGAAAATAATATGCAGAGGCAATTCTAAGAAAAACGTCACATGTTATAGTAAATTGGATTCTTCGACGTGCTTTAGTTGTGATCTATCAGGTATCTTTCGGCTGATTTCGTTATGAGGGCTTTTTAATAATATTTGGTTTTAACTTTAGAAAATTTTTACTGTTACAGAACGTGGTTTCAAATTTGTTTGTGAAAATTCGAGCCTACCGTTGTTTTTAATTTTTTTTTTACATTTTGCTCTTTCATACTAGCGACAATTTGATTCTATAAAAACTTTACAACTTAAATTCGTATTCAAATTTGTTTTCCTGTGTATGTGAAGGAATTTTGTGTATTGTAGGCAAAGGATGCATAATGTATTTCACAATTTACAAGGAAACTATATGAGTGTACATATAATCTTCCGCAGCAATTTGTGCAAACTTTGAGAAATCATTAGCTACAGAGCACCCTATGATTTATGGTACAATTACACTGTTATACGTTTGAGACAATTGATATGAATGCGCTTATGTTATAAGTGTCTGCAGTGTATAAGCCAAGTTCTGTTATAATCAAGTATAGAATTTTTTTGTAGTATTTCGTTAAAATTTCTCTCAAAAGAGTATTGCAATCACTTTAAAGGGACTTTTCAGTGTTATGATATAATACAAGTTGTGGATTTTTTAAAATTTCTTCAGTGTTATTGGATATTATATTATACAGAACTTGGCTTTACTATGAAAATACTGGATTGGTGGTGCTTCTTGAAAAATTGCTCTAGGACTTAAGTGGTGCCATTTAATAATAGGGCAGAATAGTGTAAAACGGAAACATTACTGGTTGTTTTCTTAGGAATAAGAATTTTCTAAGGTAAAGTGGTTCTAAGTAATCCACAATGTTGAACACGGGTCAATCCAGAAATTTTTAATACTTATGAATAAATATTGCACAAATTGTAGAAATTTTAAGTATGTATGCGAATCTGTAATCAAATTATAAAAATGTTTATAATTTTCTCACTTTGGGGTTCATTCATTCACATTTATGTTATGTTTTTTAATTTTAATATTTATTTTGTATTTTTGTCAAATTCCCTAAATTATGGAAGTTTTAGTGTATGTGCGAATCTGTAATTAAATATAAAGTTTTATCATTTTTTGACTTAGGAGTGTATTCATTCATATTTGTTATTTAATTTTAATATATTTTTTAAATTATGTCAAATTCTCTGAATTGTGGAAATTTTACTATGTTTGCGAATTTGTAATCAAATTAGAAAAAGTTTTACAATTTTTTACTCATTCACATTTCTGTTATGTTATTAAATTAAACAATGTTTTCCTTTTGTATTTCTATCAAATCCCCTCGACAGTAGCCAACTTTTTGTAAAAGGTCTTGTTTATTTTTATCTAGGTCAGAGCTGTGAGTAAAATTACGAAATAAATTGTTACTTTGCACCAAAACATTCCGACTATACAATGCCAGCAGCATTCAAATATATTCTGAGAATATTTTGAACAATGCGCGAGTAAAGTTTCAGGATTCGGCGAAAGAGAGCTTAACTGAACAAAGTTGCGGTGTTAGGCTTTACGGGTGTTAGAGACGGCAGCGGCGTGCGGAGGTAAACGGCGCAGGACGTGTGGATATAAGTGAGGGCCGGCGGCGCGGCGCACACTCACCCAAAGTCGCGGGCTGCGGTAGGTAGTGCCACTCGGGGGCACCACGATCGCAGATACTCGTTCCCGGCACGCGATACATTTTCTTTGAAATTTCGTGCAACTGCAAAGAAAAAAGTGAATACGCCGGACCTTTGGTGACCTCAACGTGTGCGTTGTGAGTGCTTTTCTACGGACTCTATTTTTTATCGATATTCCGGTATTAGAATAGAGGTACGGACGTGGTCGCGCTAGTGAAACGGGAAGATTTCGACATTTCAAATTGTGAGGATTGCCTGCACCACTTTTGGGACCACAATTGAAGTGAGTATTTAAAACATTCATAATTTCCATTAAGTAACTTGCGTATTTTAAAATAACGAATTGAATTTTTCGCTACCAGCTGATATGTGCTAAATACTTGAGATAGCGAGCGATAAGCCGAATTACGGTATCGTCACCTGTCCACGTGTAATTATTTGCCTACAGGCAATACAAGAAATTATATTGAATTCCAAATAATAAGCAGTGTGATAAAAAAGTTTACTATTTTATTTATTACTCTGAATAAATACTTTATTTACACTGCAATGTCCTAAACTAAATTAGAAAGTTTTCAAACTTTATAGAAGGTAATGTTGAAATTATAATTCTCCACTTAAAATGCTTACTTGACAGAAACAAAAATTTTCCGAGCCAATAGACAGTTAAAAGTAACGCAATTTTTGGTCGCAGCGTCTCTATTTACTAAGCCCAGTGTTGATGTGCTAATCTCTGAGTAATAAAGAAGATTTTAAACAAATACCAACTACGTGACTAGATCCTATAGTAAACTCATATACCTGAAATACGTGTATAAGAATAATCAACATCAAAATTCGTTGAACTATAATAGGCTTTCAACCATAACAGGAAACGGAAAACACCGTAAAAATATTAAAAATATTTGTCATGATAAAAAGTTATGGAAGTTTCTGGTGACTTCTAGATGTCGCTTAAAACAAATCAATAAACGACATTTGAATTTCCAAAATTGAAAACATAACTTCAAATCAGACTTTAAAAACAAATGAAAGTCTACATTTCGTATTACACTTATGAAAACGCAAAGTACATTTACAGGTAGTATAGACAAAGCGCATTAATAAGTTAATCCACTAAGATTTTCCTGTCCATTGTGCAGATGAGTAAAGATTATCTATTCTTTGTAAATTGGTTCCTATAAAAAAATATAGACAATCAATCAGGTGCAATTTGCGGTACCTCGCATAATAGCAAATACATGAAGTTACGTGTTCCATAGCAACTGGTTTTTATAGTTATATTGATAGGTAGTGTCATGCTTTATATTACTCACAATATACATAAAATAAAACAGAAATATTTAATTCCTTTTCCGTATATAACTGAATAGAGTTTCCTATTCAACATAAACCTCATCAATCCGTCTGATGTATTGTATAGAAAATAATAATGTAACAGTTAGTCACACCAATTGCATGTTCTCAAACTAGGGAATTCCCTGTGCTATTTTTTTTTATAATAAACTTGAGATGTGCGTTATTATTATTAATACATAAACAATAAATATTAGACAACATCACATACCTTGCTCTGATCCCAAAGTAAGTAACTAAACCACTTGTGCTATGGAAATCGAAAACAACGACGGTACCATCGAATCGAACCCCGGATCTCCCCATCCAGCATTCACAATATAAACTATTGGGCAACCTAGGTCGATCGGCAATAGATATTAGGGCTGGGATCCACAGACAAAGTTTACTGATGTTGGTTAAACAAACAGAAAAGCATTGTTGTTTAGATTTAAACTGTTGTGTAGAAAACTAAAATAATATAGACGAACGTAACTGCTTTTAGGTCCAAAGAAAACTGTAAAATCTCTTTACTGAAAATGAACTTTGAATCACTCAAAGAACACAGTGTCAGTCGTAGTTCGAATACTAACTAGTGTGTCATATTTGTATTACAGAGTCATCAGGACCTTCAGGATATTCTCGCATAATTTACTGTCTTATCTGTGGTGGGCGTGCTCAGCTGTTGTCTGTGTAGTATTGTAAATAACTATACTAAATGCCTGTTTTTTTTTGTAATTTTTCATAACAGCAGTGTTAGTCTTTTGTCAAATAACGTACGCATCACAAACGTGTTAGTCTTTTTTTATAATATCAAGTGACGGGGCGAACAAGTCGTGCGCCTGATGTTAAACTACATGCCTTATCATTACATCATTATCATCACGCCATAACAGTTACAGAGCCACTCAGAGTTTTAAATTGCAAAGATCTGAGGGGCACTACCACTGCGCCCGTCACCCTGAGATATAAGTTGACAAGTCCCATATGCCTGTAATTCACCAACACCCTTCAAAACCGGAACACAGTTATGTTGACATTACTGCTTGGCGACAGAAGTATGTAAGGTGGCAGTACTTCCCTGGACGAACTGTTTCACAAGGAAATGTACTGCTGCTAAAAATGCCTGATGGTTTGACATACCGGAGTTATCTTATATATACATTTGGAGTAATCGGTGGGTCAAGTTTGAGAAATGAACTTTAATAAATAGATTTTTGTTGAGGATGTCAAAATTGAACCCGGTTCTCTCTGTTGCATAACTCACATTCAATGTTATATTAGTTTGAAGGATACAGTCAAACATAAAAATGGAACTATAATTTTGAAAATCAATGGCCAAAAAGAATGTAAGGAGCAGAATGTTACGATGCAGGTCGAAAACAGATTCTAGCGTGGGTTTTCTGGGTAGTGCTCCAGAAGTAATTTCGTTGCTCATGTACTCATAGTACAGGGAGTGCCGTGGTTTTGGGACCGGGTACGCTGGTCTGCCACGCAGAGGTCCCGGGTTCGAATCTCCGGCGGGAGAAATATTTGTGTGGTCTACATTTATTGTTCTCGTGAGTTTGGTTGTAATTTGTGGTTGTCTATGTGTGTGTCCATGGTACCCACGGTACAGAGTTTCCCTACGAGGCTACTTTATTAAATACGGGGATACTTTATTACCATTTTTTAAAATCGAAAACTACCATGAGGCTCAGAGATATTGACTAAACTAACGGATATCTGACGTAGTTATGTAAAATTTTAGCACGGCAAGTTTCGAATCAGTCCGTAATCCTTAATCATGAGATACGGCGGCGGGGACTCGATGGAACTATGTCAATCAAAAATTCGACTTAATCCGTCACGCGTCCTGGATATTTTGGAAAAAAATGGTGGATGAAAATATAGTTGCGCATTAAAAGACCCCGTGTGGTTAGCTTTTGCAGTATCAAAATAGTTAGAGACAATTGACGTGTTAAACACGTTAGTTATCCATTACTTTAGTTAAACACATTATTAATATATTGAAACACACGCAAATGTCGCAATTTTCAAATAGAATTTAAAACAAAAACGTAATAAAATAAAAAAGAATCCATGCCATTGTTTCTAACAAAACAGCGAGGTGTAGCAAACCTTACGTGAAGTTCTTATCAGATAAAAATGAGGATATCATTATCTGTTGATAACGAATGATCTCACGGTTGGTCCGTTTTGAAAACTCCTCATTTTGATAGAAGAAAAGCGCATCACATGACAACTAATACAGTATTATCTCAAAAACTGCGTTACATTATATTTTATCTCAAAAATTGCGTATAAATCGTATACGTCGAATGACAAACGTATATAATGCAATTTTTGAGATATACTATGTTACTTGTCATGTGCGATTTGTTTATTATATAAACCTTTGTATTTTATAGCAAAATATTGCCAAAATTCAGCATTTATCGTTCTTCTTTTATAACAAAAAAAATTAGCACAATAATATATCTTAGTTTTTTATTTTATTAAGAATTCCAGCACAAAGGCAGGAAGCGGTTCAGCTCGATACGGTACGTATTGTTAGCGGTTCTTGAGATTGATTCCCTGACCCCGGTCGACTTTGCCATTGCCGGGGAATACCGCCTCACTCAATTCAATACTGATCTTTTAGACCGTAATAATAATAAACCAGGCAACAGGCTGAAGAAAAAACCAGGAAATAATAACAATAATATGTAAGATGACCACCAGTCATCTGGTCTCAAACTAGAGAATTCCATGTACTATTAGTACCAGAGTAACCGAATTCACTCCGCAGTCTTTATCCAGAACACATAAATAATCATAAAACCAATTTAGAAAAGTTAATTTCGCTACTTGATCCTATTAGTAATCGAACCCAGAATACAACTAGTGCCCACAGTGCAAACCGTTGGGTCATCCCATCCAGGTTGTCAATAAATAAATAAATATTAGACAACATCACATCTCTGATCCCAAAGTAAGTAGCTAAATAATATGTATTATGGAAATCGAAAACAACGACAATGCCACAAACGCCCAGACCCGGGACAATATAGATAACTAGTTTTCTACACTGATCCGTGCGGTGTGCGAGCCACTCTATCACGGAGACCGTTAATATACATACATAATATATAAGTCAACAAAATAACTAATTCCATTTAAACCCCTTTTAGGATGTAATAGATGTTCAGCAAATCAGTAACAAAGAGACTAACGCTTTAGTATGCATACGTGAACAATAATGGGTTCTCAATACACAATAAATGATACATATTATCCTTCTAAGACGACAATGGGCGTTAAAAGCCCAAAGTGTATTAAAATATATTTATTTCACGTCCAAGCAAGTTCGTCCTCAGATTTGTATGAAAACCGCAACCGGAATTTTTTAAAGAGTTTTCTTTAGGCCCTATAGTCATGTAGATAAGCGCCAAATTCGAACACAATATTTTAATTATAAAGTACACAGGGCGTTTACTTGATAATAGGATATTATCTAGGAGTGAATCATTTCACATATTTTGTACGTTTTGATGTACACGGCGTCTTAGAGGTTATGCATGTAGATGAGTACGTAGTTTTAGAACAATATGTATACGTAAGTACGTTCATAATATATGGATTGTAACTAGCAGTTCTTTAATTGTTTCAAATACATATTATAATAATGTGGGTCGCTGGTGGTGGTACTCAACTATATCAGTCAATGTTAACATAAAAAAAAAGTGGAGTTAAATTAAATGTTGTATGTGAAGGTACCTTTACATATAACAGATGCTAAACAAACAATATACCAATACTTAATAAAGAAAACAATTTTATAGCACGGAACATCATGCCAAAGACAATGTTTCTGCTTTAAAAAAAAAAAGAAGAAGCTGCCATGCCAGGTGAACTGAATGCTCTTTTTAATATCGTACACTTCGTACAATAAAGTCACATGTGATC